TCAGGGTCTGCAGGCGCCGCAGGCGCAGCGGGCGCCGTGCGCGGGCTGGCGACGGCGCGCCAGCGGCGGTCTGCGCCGTGACAGCGGGCGGCGGCGCTGCTGGCGCAAGCGCCTGGCGGCGGGCACCCAGAGGATCGAAGGCCTCCAGAGTGGAGGTCCGACTTCGATTCTGAAGGCGCATCAACCACCAGAAGGAGCGTGACCGGGAGGCACAGTCGGGCTTGAGCTGGGAGGATTACGTCGCACGCCAGAGGGCCGAAGGGAAGGCCAAGCACTGGGAGATCCACGGCGATGGTTTCACGACGAGGCCCAGACAAGACCAAATACGTAGACACTTTGTGGCTCTGGGCCCAAGAAGCCATAGAGGCCATTCTGAGGGCTATCGCCTTCCTCCATACCCCATACCGAAGGCGCTTTTCGCCTCCAGGGTGGAGGTCCGAGCTCCAGGATGCAGGTGTCTCGCTATCGCTCGGACGTCAATTCCCCGTGCGTTTTTCTTCTATCTCGTGGGTGTTCTTTTCTTGCTCGATGGTCCCTCGATGGTCCTCGCCGAGGGAAAAACCACTTCGATGCTCCAGGATGCTCCAGGATGCCAATCGATGCTCCTCGATGGTCCTCGATGGCACACGTCCGAGCGACGCTGAAGGCTTCGGACCCACGGGCAGAGGTGCCTCTTCCTCGGCGCCGGCGCGCGGCGCGAGGCCCCGCGGCGCCGCGGCCCGCCGCGCGAGGCGCCGCTGCGCCGGCGCGTCACCGCCCTCGGCGGGCCGCTTCCGCGGCGGCAGCGGCGCGGCCTCGCCGCAGCAGGCCGCCCGCAGCTGCCGCAGGCGGGCCCGCGAGGCGGGCCAGCGGCGCGCCCCCGCGGCGTTCTGCAGGAACACCACGGCGGTGTCCACCGGGGCGCGGCGGTGCCGGAGCGCCGGGTCGCGCCACACGTGCCGCTCGCGCGGCACGCGGAGCGGCTCCGCCGTGCGGAACCTGGCGGATCGCAGAAGGGGGCTACAACAATGAATTATGTAATTCTATATATATATATATATACACAAGATTGTACCGGCTCGCTGCGCTTCGCCTTGCAAATCTTGGTCGCATGGCGCCAGGGAGGCGCGATGAGATCGGTTGTCGTCAAAGCCGCGGTGTGTTCTGGCCATGGAGACCATGGAGCAAAGAGGGCTGATAGGACCCAGGGAAATTGCGGCTCAAAGAGCTCAGAAGGGGTCTCTGTCGTCATGGGGCCCAAGGGCTCGGAGCCCCCATTTTAGGCGAGGGGTAATGCTGCCGATGCTGCTCCAGGGGGTCATGAGACTCACAGGGTTCACAGGGCTTATGGGGCTCGTTGGGGTCATGGGACTGTTTGTGCACATCGGGCACGGGGCTCATAATGCTGAGTGGCTTTTACAGAGGTCATAGGGGTCATAGGAGGCTAATGGTGCTTATAAGGGTCCTGGGGCTCCCTGGAGTCATCAGCTCTTGGGGGCCATTGGGCTCATAGAGCTCGCAATGCTCCGGGTGGCCATAAGGCCCCCAGCGCTAACAGAGCGCGTAGGCCTCGTAGGGCTCATGGGGCCGATTGGGGTGAAGGGGCAAGTCGGGGCCATAGGGCTCATAGGGTCCATAGGCCGTATCCGCTCACTGGGCTCGTAGGGCTCAGAAAGGAGTCTCATGGGTCTCGCAAGGCTTCACGGCTCCTAGTGCTGAGGGGGTTCTAGGGCTCATAGGGCGCATAGGCCTCATAGGGGTCATCGCGCTCATACGGTGTCATGGAGGGTCGGGGGGGTATGGGGCTCGGCTCATTGAGTTCATGGGGCTCCTGGGGCTCGTGAGCTCATAAAGGTCATGGGGATTCTAGTGCTCATAGGCCTCAAAGGGCTAATCAGGCTCATGGGGCTCATGGAGCTCGGAGAGCTCATGGGCTCGTAGGGCTCGTAAGGCTCATTGGGCTCCTAGGGCCCATAGGGCTCACAGAGCTCATAGGGCTCATAGGGCTCATACGGCTCATGGGTTCGTAGGGCTTAAAGGGCTCATTGGGGTCATAGGGTTCATAGGCCCCATAGAGCAGGGCTCATAAAGCTCATAGGGCTCCCAGGCCTCACAGGGCTCATGGGGCACCATGAGGCACCATAGTGGTCGTAGGGCTTGTGGGGGCGAGAGGCCTCATATGGCTGATAGGGGTATGGCCTCTCGGGGCTCTCGTGGGGCTCCTTTTGAGGCTCTTTCAGGCTGTGTGGCGGCCCTCTTGGGCCGTCCTGGGACCCTCTTGGGCCGTCTTGGGGTCCTCTTGGTTCTTCTTGGAGGCCTCATGCGGCCTTCTTGGGGCTCTCTGGGAAGCCTTTTGGTGCTCTTTGGGGCCGTCTTGGGGCTCTCTTGGGTCGTTTCGGAACCCTTTTGAGTTGTCTTGGGGCTCCCTTTGGGACTTCTTGGGCCGTCCTGGGGCGATCTTGGGGGCCTCTTGGGCCGTCTTGGACGCGATGAAGGCCCAAGAAGCGGATATGCTAAAAATGTACGTTTCCCGAAGGGAATGGGACGATTTTGACCTCTTGGGGGTCTTCTTGGGGGCCTCTTGGGGCGTCTTGAGAGCATCTTGGGCCGTCTTGAAGCCACCTTGAGGCCTCTTTGAGCACTCATGAGCCGTTCTGGAGCGGTCTTGGGCCGCCTTGGGGCTTTGCGGGACCGTCCGGGGATGGCCGGGAGAAGCTCCCGAAACCGAAATTCGAATTTGACATCGGTGGGAGCGCCCAGGGCCGAATCTATGTACGAGGGGGGGTCGGGGGGGTCCTGCTATCAGAATATTCGAAGAGGAGTATATGTATATAGATGTGTGTAAAAATCACTTGTACGGATAAGACGTGTAAAACAATGGGGAGGGGATGGCTTCTTAGGAGGCCACTTCTCAGAAGGCGCCGGCCCTGCATCTACAGGCAAGGCCCGCGCCCTCTGCGAAGCAGGGGTGCTGCTGAGAAGCCTTCCCCACTCCCCCCGTGTGCGCGCGGCCGAGGAACGGCGACCGCAGCAGCGCCTCCCAGGCGGCCGACTGCTCCCAGGCGGGGACGATGAAGGCGAAGGACAGGGGTCCTGCGTCCTTGGCCCCGACGAGTCGCTCCACGTGGTCAACCTTGGCGGCGCGCAGAAGGGGGTATAGGGGGAGGGGGGAAGGCTTCTTAGAAGCACCCCTGCTTCTTAGAGGGCACCGGCCCTACATCTGCAGACGAGGCCCGCGCCTTCTAAGAAGCAGGGGTGCTTCTAAGAAACCTTCCCCCCTCCCCCTACCCCCCTTTCTGCGCGTGGCCGACGACCGCTGCAGCCATGATCCCAGGCGCGAACGGGGGATTGGCCTCGAAGCTCCCCGAGCGCGGCCAGAAGTCCAGGAACGAGCCCACGGAGCCGAACGGGCCGTCCGTGTCCGGGAACGCGGAGCAGAAGCGCTCCCAGAAGCAATTCAGGGGCGAGGCGAAGCACTCGAACCGCACGCCGAAGAGCCGCTTCAGGGCCAGGAAGCCCTCGGCCGGCAGCGCGAGCTGGAAGCCGTCCCCGCCCAATGACTGGTAGCGCAGCAACACCAGGAAGATCGCGCCGTCCGTGCCTGCCGCCGATACGGTCCGGCCGCCGCGCCGCCGCGCCAGCTCTACCAGCTTGCCGTAGACGCCGCGAGGGAGAGAGAGGTCATCGCAGCGGCGCCCCGAGCCCGCACCCTGGGCACGCAGCCGCACCTGGAGGAACAAAAAGCGGCACAAACATGATCTACGAGAAATGATGACTATGCCATTTTTCTTCCTCGCGCACCAGGTCGCCCTCACTCGCGGCGTGCACCAGGGGCTCGGCGCCCACGCCCGCGCCTGCCGCGGCGGCCGTGGCCGCAGCCGCGGCGGCCCTGGCGGCGGCCGCCAGCGACCCGCAGACGCGCGCGGCGTCGCCAGCCTGGAAGCCCACGCGGAGCAGGTCCTCATGGAGCACCCCGCCGCCTGCCAGAAGGGGCGCTCCTCCGTGCTCACTGCTGCTGCTGCTGCTGCTGCTGCTGCTGCTGCTGCTGCTGCTGCTGCTGCTGCTGCTGGGTGCTGGTGCTGGTGCTCCTCCTCCTCATCCTCCTCATCCTCCTCCTCCTCCTCCTCCTCCAACCTCCTCCTCCTCCTCCTCCTTCTCCTCCTCCTCAACCTCCTCCTCAACCTCCTCCTCATCCTCCTCCTACGAGGAGACTACGAGGCTGAAGGCAGAAGGTTCCGTCGGATGCTGCCAGTGGCCCCCGCCCGTTTGGCATCGCAGGCGGGGACCATTGCGAAAACGGGCCGCGTTCGGCAGGCGGCTGGTTGAGGGCCCCTCCACTCCCCATCCCCTCCTTCCCCTTCCTCCTCCTCCTCCTCCTCCTCCTCCTCCCTCCTCCTACTCTCCTCCTCCTCCTCCTCCCTCCTCCTCCCTCCTCCTCCCTCCTCCCCCTCCTCCTCCCTCCCTCCTCCTCCCTCCTCCTCCCTCCTCCTCCCTCCTCCTCCCTCCTTCCTAGTCCACCCCCCTCCTCCCTCCTCCCTCCTCTCTCCTCCCCCCTTCCTCACTCCCTCCCGTCTCCATCGGCACATTCGCCTTCGAGGCCGTCATCGTCGCGGGAGCCAGGAACAGGGGAAAGGGTCGCCCTGGAGCGAACCCCTCTCCGAGGCGCGCACGGGCACGCCTCCGCCAAGCAGGCTATTAACTCCGGGGGTTAACCCCCTCTGGGATCAGACACCTTCAAAATGGGGGTCCGACCTCAAGAATGGAGTTTTCTAGTCTTCTGTGCCCTTTCCCTCGCCCTCTCCTTCCCCCTCCATCATTCCCCCCCCCTTCCCGTCTCCCTCTACCACCGTCTCCCGCACCGCCTCCGCCCTTCCCTTCCTCCACCTCCGTCTCACCACCTGTCCCGTCCGTCCCTCCTGCACCCCCTCCTTCCCTCCACCCGTCCCCCCTCCTTGCCCCCGCCCCCCCGCCCCCCCGCGACAGAAAAGCAAGGCGGAACTCGACATCAACGGAGCCTGAAAAATGTGGCGGGGATGCCCGCCCGTCTTGCGAAATCACCCAAACTGGAGCGGATGCGGAGTCGCTCGCTCGCTCAACGTCGGCATGGGAATGATCCGTGCTCGTCCACACACGCTGATGCCGCGCGCCCTGAGATACATAACTCGTCAACACGACCCCTGAGGCGAGACAACAGAGAGAGAGAGAGAGAGAGTGAGAGAGGGAGAGAGAGAGAGAGAGAGAGAACGAGAGAGAGCGCAGCGCCTAGCCCCTAGCCTCTGCAGGCATCAAGCACCGACTCAATCTCTCGAGCCACCCCTTTCTCGGAGTCCAGGAGGAGGAGGGGAAACCAAAAAGTACCGATACCGCTACCCCCCCAGACCTCTCCCAGTGTGCGCTCTGACCAGGATGCCGAGGCGAGTCCAGCGGTGGCGACGAGGGCCTCCCAGGAGGCCCGCAAAGGGGAAAACGGGCGAGGTGGGAGAGGTATGGGTACCTTCTCCTCCTCTGAGGAAGGGATCGAGCAATTGGGCCCGGAAATGAGCGGCCGGAAAAAATCTGAACCCGATATCTCGATCGCAATGATTCCAATAGTAAGGCCTGGAGGGGGAGGGAGGGGAATTCGGTTCTTTGTCGTCGGAGCGCCGTTGATGCAAAGTTTTTTACTCCGACCGTATGGGTACCTTTTCCTCCTCTGAGGAGGGGATCCCTCCAACGCCTCCACCTCCGCCGAAGCCCTCACCCCCCGCCGCTCCGCCGCCTGCCCGCCCAGGCGGCGGCGAGGGCACCAGCGGGTCGGCGCCGGCCAACCGCCGCCGCACGCCGGCGCCCCACTCGGCGGCCTTTTGGAGGAAGGGACATTATATACCTACACACACATATGTATATATAAATATATCTATATATATATATATAGCATCTTTTGGAGGAAGGGGCATTATATATAAGAGATATCACCTTTTGGAGGAAGGAAGAAGATGCTTGTTACGTCAGCGGCGAGGCAGTAGTGCTGCTCCAGCGGGCGGCGATCGGGGCGACCGATACGCGAATGGGCTGGCGTGCAAGAGGGGGGGGACTAGACACACAGGGCGCCCGCGAAGGACGGGAGAAGGCGGAGGGCACTCAGACGCGGAAGAATTCCGTGCTGAGTGCGCCGTCGCGGTGCCGATCCGGGACGTCCGCGCGGGCCTGGCGACCGTTGATGTCTGTTGGTCGAGCCTTGGCGGTGGAGGCGGCCGGGGGAGAGCATGCTGCTCTGCATGAGCTTGAGGCCAATGGGCGGGCAAAGAGTTGGAGCCGTCAGTGGATCAGTCTTGCGTACTACTGTAGGAGCTACGGTGTGTCTTTACCTAACAGCTTTTGCTGATAGGTTTCTAGTGGGATCAAAAGAAAGCATCTTGACGCCCCAGGGGGGTCTGGGCGGGATCCGGACAAATCCGGCAGCCCCAGGAGCCCTTAGGAATCCTTAGGAATTCTTAGGAATCCTTAGGAATCCATTCCCAGAACACCATTCCCAGGCCACATTTTGAATGCCCGGAGCCAACTGTAGGCCACTTCGTGTTCTTCGTGTTCCCAGAACACAATTCCCAGGCCACATTTTGAACGCCCGGAGCCAACTGTAGGCCACTTCGTGTTGTTCGTCTTCCCAGAACACCATTCCCAGGCCACATTTTGAATGCCCGGAGACAACTGTAGGCCACTCCGTGTTCTTCGTCTTCCCAGAACAGAATTCCCAGGCCACATTTTGAATGTCAGGAGCCAACTGTAAGCCATTTCGTGTTCTTCGTCTTCCCAGAACACCATTCCCAGGCTACATTTTGAATGCCCAGGGCCAACTATAGGCCACTTGGTGTTCTTCGTCTTCCCAGAACACCGTTCCTGTACCATATTTTGATTGCACGGGACCAACTGTGGGCCACTTCGTGATCTTCGTGTTCCCAGAAAGAACACCAGTCCTGTGCCATATTTTGAATGCCCGAGCTGAGGCAGGCTGAGGCCGAGGCAGGCTGAGGCCGAGGCAGGCTGAGGCCGAGGCAGGCTGAGGCTGAGGCTGAGGCACGCCGAGGCAGGCTGAGGCTGAGGCTGAGGCAGGCTGAGGCTGAGGCAGGCTGAGGCTGAGGCTGACGCAGGCTGAGGCCGAGGCAGGCTGAAGTTGAGGCTGAGGCAGGCTGAGGCTGAGGCAGGCTGAGACTGAGGCTGAGGCTGAGGCTGAGGCTGAGGCTGAGGGCTGAGGCTGAGGCTGAGGCTGAGGCTGAGGCTGAGGAGGCTGAGGCTGAGGCTGAGGCTGAGGCTGAGGCTGAGGCAGGCTGAGGCTGAGGCTGAGGCAGGCTGAGGCTGAGGCTGAAGGGCTGAGGCTGAGGCTGAGGCAGGCTGAGGCTGAGGCTGAAGCTGAGCTGAGGCAGGCTGAGGCTGAGGCTGAGGCTGAGGGCTGAGCTGAGGCAGGCTGAGGCTGAGGCCGAGGCTGAGGCAGGAGGCTGAGGCTGAGGCTGAGGCTGAGGCTGAGGCTGAGGCTGAGGCTGAGGGCTGAGGAGGCAGGCTGAGGCTGAGGCTGAGGCTGAGGCTGAGGCTGAGGCTGAGGCCAGGCTGAGGCTGAGGCTGAGGCTGTGGCTGAGGCTGAGGCTGAGGCTGAGGGCTGAGGCTGAGGCTGAGGCAGGCTGAGGCTGAGGCAGGCTGAGGCTGAGGCCGAGGCTGAGGCAGGCTGAGGCTGAGGCTGAGGCTGAGGCTGAGGCAGGCTGAGGCTGAGGCTGAGGCTGAGCTGAGGCAGGCTGAGGCTGAGGCTGAGGCTGATGCAGGCTGAGGCTGAGGCAGGCTGAGGCTGAGGCGAGGCTGAAGGCAGACTGAGGCTGAGGCTGAGCAGCTGAGGCTGAGGCTGAGGCAGGCTGAGGCTGAGGCTGAGCAGGCTGATGCTGAGGCAGGCTGAGGCTGAGGCTGAGGCTGATGCAGGCTGAGGCTGAGGCAGGCTGAGGCTGAGGCCGAGGCTGAAGGCAGACTGAGGCTGAGGCTGAGGGCTGAGGCTGAGGCTGAGGCAGGCTGAGGCTGAGGCTGAGGCAGGCTGAGCTGAGGCAGGCTGAGGCTGAGGCTGAGGCTGCAGGCTGAGGCTGAGGCAGGCTGAGGCTGAGGCTGAGGCTGAGGCTGAGCAGGCTGAGGCTGAGGCTGAGGCAGGCTGAGGCTGAGGCAGGCTGAGGCTGAGGCTGAGGCTGATGCTGAGGCAGGCTGAGGCTGAGACAGGCTGAGGCTGAGGCTGAGGCAGGCTGAGGCTGAGGCAGGCTGAGGCTGAGGCCGAGGCAGGCGAATCCTTCGGAATCCTTAGGATTCCCTAGGATTCCTTAGTAATCCCTATGAATCCCTAGGAATCAGGATTCCTAAGGATTCCTAAGGTTTCCTATGGATTCCCAAGGATGCCTAAGGATGCCTTAGGAATCCCTAGGATTCCTTAGAATTCCATTGGATCCTAAGGCCGTTGCCACTGCGACTGTCATTGCGAATGCGACTGCGACTGCGAGAACAGCTGAATTCTACAACTGGATTATCACCTGAATCTTAAGGGGAATGCTTCCAGATATGCTTACACACATCGCTGTTAGGTTGCTTTGACAGGATTTTGTTTTGATTGTGGTCCAGCTCATGACGCCAGTTCATGACCACCCCCTGCGCTGCTCGTACTGCGCATGGTTAGTGAGTATGTTGGCTGAATTCAATGACGAGGCTCCCCGTCCTTCTCCCCCTTCTATCCTCTTCATGTTCCTGTCGGCAATGGCAAAGTCCTGCAGGTATGTCCGCAATGATGAGGCCATTTTCTACCACCACTACCATAGGTAGGACGGGGGAGAAGGGAGGATGGGGAGGTCCTCCTCCTTCTACTCCTCCTCCTCCTCCGCCTCCTCCTCTTCCTCCTC